CTCACATCTCTATTTATAACAAACCTATTAGTTAACTACAGATATAAATTGTAGCTCACATTTCTATTAATTTTTATCATTTTAAATTAGAATAATTGAACTTGATTCGGTATCTCCCATATAAGAATACAATAAATATTTCTACTAATAATATCAATCTATTTACAAATTAAAGAACAATACAAGTTTGTTAGTTCTGTTCATAAATGTCGATATTAAAATTAAAATTTGCATTCTCTGTTTTAATAAATATTACTCTTATTTAATTGATTAATTTCAATTTAGTTTTAACAACCCTATTTATACTTCTAACTTTTTTATTCTATTTTGACTTAAATTTATACCAAAATTCATACTCTAATACGGCCCAAATTAATTAATCCACCAAAATTTAATTCAGCCAAATTTATATTTTAATTCAGCCAAAATTCACCAAAAAAATTATGCTTTAATATGGCCCAAATTTATACTCTAAATCTGCCCTAATTTTTTTATTCTAATACGACTCAAATTTATGTTCTGTCTCGGCCAAATTCATACCCTATATTCCAAATTTATACTAGTGATATAAAACTTTAGTTTGCATATTTTCTAAAATTATCATAGTTCAAGAAAATATTAATAGATCAATATAACAATTAAAAATTTTTACGTGTTATTACAAATATTGTATAACTAATATTCACGAAAAATACACAGTTTTCACGTAAGAATTCTAATTATAGAACAAAAATTAACTGTTTGCAGTAAAGTACAAAGAATTTTGGCATTAAAGGCTTTTTTTGGTTTCGATACCTTATTTACAAAGTATGGATATATACATTTTTTATTAATTTATTCTCCAATTATCTAAGACTAAAACTGAATTGAACCATTCGAACAAAGAATATTAACGAATATAAGAAGTAAATTTGCTTTGTTATACGCAATTTGTATTAGTAATATATTTCAAATGAATGCACTTATGTTGAAAAATATAAAAAAATATTTTAAATTTAAAACGTCACCAACACGAAATACTCAAAAAAAAAAAAAACAGTAAGTCTCTGAACAAGCAAAATTCAAATACAACACCACTATTAATTCAAAATATATTACAAAATATTAAAAAAAATGTAAAATAATTGTAAATTGTCGTGGCTGAATCTGGAAACGACTGAAGCTGGAAATTTTAAATATTTTAATATGAAATTTACAAAAAATTTTGGGGTGCATTTTGTCCGATTTTTTTTATCGTTAGATTAGAATTTAGGGTTAGGGTTTAAATAGAAGAGTATAGTTGAATTTTAGCAAGGCTTATAGTTTCAAATCGAGAACTCTAATTTCCAGCTTCAGCCGTTTCCAGCTTCAGCCATGACAATAATGGAGTGATTAGTTGACTGTTTTGAGTTGGTGGATTAGAATGTCACTGTGACTGTGTTGAGTTAATATTATAATTTTGGTTTCGACATTGGTATTTTATTAGGCTTGATGAAGTCTTTTATAAGGCTTGCTGTGTGTTTTGAAGTGTTTTTTGAATCTTGAAATAGAAGTTTATATTTCAAGAATTTAGTAATTTGGGGCGAAGAGAATTATATTATTGGCTAATATGTTCTATTTTCTCACACGTCCAAAAAAAAACTCCGGGTTGGAGCTAATGATGACTGACGAAGCTATTTGGCACAGATGAAATGGTTTCGTCAAAGGTTTTGTCTAACGAAATTCTAAATTTTAAATTTTTTTTCAAAATTTCTGTTTTGTTGTACAACGTATTGTTTGCTCATAGGCCGACATTCGTTGGATTGGGTGACATAAATCAATTGCTTGGGTAATACTCGGTATTGTTCATTGATCGCATCTCTAATAGAGATTGTGATGAACTGAAAATAGAATAAAATGCGTTTTGAATATTATCAACAAGCCTGAAGTCTTTTCATTTTGATTAATTTTAATGTTAACATTACTTAAAGCCAATAATACAGACCTATGAAATCATATGATATATTAAACAAATTACGCGAAATACTAAATCAAATTTGTAATATTGTTAATCACTGGTGATGATCACGTGATAAGTAGTAATTTTCTTAAATAACAAAACGAAACGTTTGATGCCGATATAAAAGGAAATTTACTTTTTAGTGTTATCAAAATTAATGTTTTATTTCAATTAGAGGTTTTAATACTGATACAATATCAACTTTAACTTCAATACAAGTATGAATTCGTAGTCTTTTTCAATATTGATTTACTTTTGAATTAATATATAATTTAGAAACAATTGCTAAAAAACAATTAAACTCACATCATCGAATTAAATTCCAATTAATTTTTAAATGAATTCAATAATCATATGATTTAACTAAGAAGCTATAATTATTAGATGACATTTTTATCATGAATAAAAGTTTTTTATGGAAAATATATAATGAAGAAGCAGTGTTAAGATTGTTACTTAAATAATACATGATTTCACGGACCCATGGGTCCGTGAGATCATATGTAATGTTATCACAATAAAATAACAATGCCGTCAGTAAATTTTTGATTAGTTAAATTAAATTTGTTAATTGTAAAATATTGAATAAAAACTTTATCAATTACTTATAAAATGAATCATAAAAATTAAGCATGTTTAATATCTGCAACAAAATCAAACTTATTCTTTAAATTCCTTTGGAAGTTCGAATCAATTCCTTGCAAAAGTATGACAAGATCAATTTTTAAATTTTCAGATGATGATATGGTATCTGTGTGTCTTAGTGGCGTTGATAAAAATAATAAAGAATGGACCGCTCGAGAAATTCAGAAGCATGACATACCAAATTATGAACATTTATTATCTGATATAAATATTATGAAATATATGTATCAAGAAAGACAGTTAAGAAGTGAGGAAATTAAACTTAGGGTAAATAATGATTATCAAATTGGACAACCTAAAGGTGCGCTCACCATTCTTGATGAACAAAATGATTTCATAGGATTTATACTGTCTAAGCCTAAATCTGAAAAAAAAGGTAACTCCGAAATAGTTTATGCATTGTCTCAGAAATACTGGGGCAAAGGGATTGGGCACTCAGTCTTAAGTAAGATGGTTAATGAGTGGGGCCCAGAAGTACGCAAAATTGGTTTAAGAGAAAGTTTTGATAAACAGAATAAGAAAAAGATTCAAGAAATATTTCAATTTAATGGTAAAGAATTAGAGAAATTCTGTACTACAGTCAGACCTATAAATGTTAGTTCATGGTATATTCTCGAGAAAGTTGGCTTTGAACCATCACGAGCAGAAATATCAATTAATTTTGATGATAAAGGTTATGATTTACCAACTTTAGATAACTTACTAAATTATTGTGATAAACTTGAAGAATTTATTAATATACTTTATAACAATGGAGTGATAGAAGCTGATAAGCTTTACACTCAAGAGAATGACAAAAAGTTCACATTTTGTAAAAATGCAGATGGTAGAATTAGATTTCATTTTCAAAAAACTATAACAAAATAGCTCGATAGAAATTCAATGGCTG